TACTTTCCCATTTGCTTTCTTCTTCCTTAATCCAGTTAGCTCCTTCGTTGTGATCTTGTTCTCGTTCCCATATATCTGCCCAGTAGTTCCTTATTTCTTCTTCAGTTGGTACTCCATTGTTTTCAAGTGAATTATTTATATTATTATTACCTAGTGACCTGTAAAAACCTTTTTCATTCGTTGTAAAGATCTTGTTGTCATTCTTCCTATTTAAAGCCTTTATGTAACGAGCTAAACGGTGTGCTTTGAGTGCAAGTTTTTGTTTTAATGTGTCCAATACATCATGTGGTGTACAGTNTTATTATTATTATTATTATTAATAAAGTAATAAGAGTAGATAAATTAGGGTTTTCGCGAATGAAAGATCCGCTAGATGGCGGGACGTGGATGTGGGGTCTGACTGCTGCGTGATTGGTGAATTTTAACATATCTGTCAATGTCATGTCAAAAATAACCAATCATGCGGCATTTGGACCTTGCGTCTACGTATTGCCTTAAGGCGGATTTTTCATTCGCAAAAACCCTCATTGTGACTTTCCTTACAGTTAACATAATAAGCAACGATGTGCAAGTTGAACTTACCATAAACATCGATGCAGCCGATCTGCCACTTCATGCTAGGCTGGGTGTTGATCTGGCACATATAGCAGCCTCGGTCCTCAGCCCGAAGAGGCCTGATCCTCAGCTGCCAGGTTCTAGGGGCGTCCAGGTTGACCGAGTATCTGGCCCCGAGGACGGCTCTCTCGTGCATCGTCAGCACTGTCTGATCTTCCGCGCGGAGCCAACCCACCTGGTGAAGATATGAACAGTTAAAAATGCAGAACATTATGTACCACGGTATTTAAACGTCCCTGCATTGCGCACCCTTTTGAGAGATATCGAACTCGAGTCGTGTCTCCTCGAAAGGATGCGCGATGCCAAAAGCAAGAGCGTCCACGGAAGACCAACTTCTTGACATGCCCTTTGATTTGACACGGTGGCTCAGTAATGGTTTTTGTTTAAACTTAATGTGCCAAAGTCTTTCTTTTCTACTTTATTATTGGGATACGTCAGTCAAAGGACGTCACTTATATAAATTCTTCCCGAATGTACGCGAACGTCTAACTAGGCGATGGTTAGAAATCGACCATTGCTCGTCGCAGTTCCTCACGGGACATGGCAACTTTAAACATAAACTTCACGAATTCAAACTAGTTCCGTCTCCTTTTTGCGAGTGTTCCTCTGATGATGTCAGTCATGAGCAGTCTGCCCATCATATCTTGTGGGAGTGTGATCTTTGGAAACATGAACGTGATATAATGCTTAATTCAATACAACATACATCTGTTTCCGCAATTTATTACACCGATCTTGTCGCGACAAGGAAAAATTTCCGTGCTTTTAAGCGATTTTGTGAAAAATATTATTGGCAGGTAGTTGCTAATTGCTCATAAGATAGGCCCCCTTAATTTAATTTATTGTCCGTGGTGCATAATCTTTTTCTTAAAGGTTTTAAACCTTTGTTTGTCACCTGTCATCCGCTTTGCAATGGAGGGAAGTCGAACCTTAATTTCGAACTCCTCCTATGTTCTTCTGATTAATTTCGTTGCGGGTCCAATGACAGTTTAACTTTCCCCCGGGACAAACTTGACCTTCATTGGTTGGGTTTTTGTGGCGGTCAAGCTGTAGATCCTGGCTACACAGGAGTTGCAGTGGTGGGAACGAGAGGTGGGAATAGTCCCGTTTTTTTCTACTTTATTATCTAATAGTTGGATTCTATTATCTAGCCCTGGACTAATCAACCTTCACTGGTTAGGTTTCATTTGAGGCCAAGCTGTATAGCCTGACTTGCAGAAGTTGCAGTGATGGAAAAGAGTGGTGGGATAAGTCCCCGTTGAAGATATGAAAGGTGAGGACTGTCTGTTGGGTTGATAATCTTTGCAGCAATCAATTTTGATATATTACGAGATACTTTTTCTGCAAAATAGTTCCTAATACAATTCTCAAAGTCACTTTAGGGACACACCCACTCTTCCCATGGAAGCCATAAGATGTGACTAAGGTTAAAATATATGAACATCAAGATTCCCCGACCCGTCTGCCGGCGTAGAGAGCTATATTTTTTTAAGTACTTGTCTGAAACCATGAACTGTTAAGTTCCGTATTTTCATTCAATTTTCTAATATCTTTAAGTAATCAACATAGTTCAATCAATAAAGACTGAAATACCTAGGCAAATACAGTTTAACCTTCAGCTTACACGCGCCATAGACACTACAAACACAGCAATACAGAAGTAATGAATAAACCAACGAAGACAAAAATCGAAAAAACGTGGCACGAAAAGAAAAAGTGCGATGCGGTATGTTGTACTATTGACATTCGCCTCGCGTGGTGCAGCTTGATTTTTGTGCATTGTTATGCAGCTCGTACAAGGCACAGCCGCCATATTTACGAAACTCGCAACACGTATTTTGGTACAGCACGTCAAGGTAAACAATAGCGTCTTATCTCGTTATAATACAAGCTGTTTTGTAACAAAAATGTATACTTAGGCTGAATTGCACCACCTCTTTGACCGTAACAAGAACGATAACCGGCGTTTTTTGTATAGAGTTTGACAGATTTTTGACGTTTGTCAAAGTTAAAGTAAGATGGTGCAACTCAGCCTTAGTCTCATGTACCTGTCAACTATACGGTTGATATTTCGGGACAACTAAACGGGATCCTAGACAAAACAAAAGAATCCTCACATTTGCCCCCATCGGAGCTCGAACCGGCGACCGTAGCTTACTGTCCTAGGGCTGCAAGGCCCAGTGTCGTACGCGGGTGGAATCCATTTGTGACATACTGTGCCTATCCATGACTCCAGGTATAAAATTTCTCATCACACTAACATTAATTTTTTGTCCCCAGCGGGGTTCAAACTAGCGACCGTAGCTAAAATCATAGTCAGTCCTCGAGGTACAGCCACATTATTATGCTATAGGCATGTGCTAGGGCTGCCGCAGCGCTGTATGCAAGGCCTGTGTGGTACGCGGGTGGAATGCATTTCATAGAAATTCAAAAGTGTGCTGGTAAATGTGCCATTGATTTATTTTAAGCGTTTAGCTTAAAACGGCGAGCGAGAAAATGGCCAAATTGTTAAGGAAAATTATTTTTAATTTAAGAAAAAAATTAACACAAAAGAATTGGGAACGTCACAACAACAATATTAACAGCATTATTGTGTTGCAGCTGGAGGTAAGATAGCCAGTGTGTTTGTTCCTCTGTGGTTGAGGATTTTGGGTGAAACTCGCTTCCACTTTCTGGCTGATCGTTACTTACTTTGGTGTGATAAAGGCCATGCTACATCGTTGCGGATTTTAAAAAATCATGTCTGAATCATTTATTTTAAAATCTGTGAGTGTTAAAGACATATGCACATTGTAACTTTACTCTGAATAAATTTCAAAAAAGTAATATTTTATGATTAGTAAATTTTTCCAAGGTTTTTTCTTTTTATAGACAGCCCTTCTTACACCTTTTTGATGAAAACAAAATTTCACTCTTAAAAGCTTAATATGGATGGGCAGGCGCCCTTCGTCTCCAATAATCACTCACCAAGTTCCTACCTAACTATCACATGCTATTCCTGTTCAGATGGTTAATAGACCAGGTAATCTAGGGCACAAGTGTTTGTTCCCAGGTTATTAGGTGTCTGAAATTTGTTTGGTACAGTCACTCGCAAAAAATAACACGACAATTACGTAAAACAAAAAAAAAACAAAAGAAGCTCGAAATCCTATTTTAAATTTGGAATCAATCGAAAATACAATGTCACTCTTGATTTAACAGTGTAAAAGGCATAATACCAGCTTTACGTACGCTGTTTTAAATTTAGTTCCAATCAACGACACTCAAGCGTGTCTAACAACGATAACAAATATCACACGTCATATTAATTTATTCACAGTTATTCGAGTGACAGGTTGATTTTAGCGCGCTGAAGTCTGTATGTTTTGTTTCAAAATGCTTTTGCATTTTTGCTATGCATTTAGCTGTCGTAATGAGTTTAAATTTAATTCCGAGTACCTTTTCTGTATTGTGAAAAAAATATTTAAAAGTTTTTTCGTCTAAAGAACATCGGACGTATTCCACTTTGAGCACCCGCCCAAATAGCATCTGGCCTATTCCACTTAGAGCACCTATCGAGATTATGGGCCGGTGCTTTTCGTGGAATTTATACATCGATAGGTGCTCTAATAACGCAGCGTGGGACGTCCACCCACAAGGTGGACCGATGACCTGATAAAGGTAGCGGGAAGGCGCTGGATGCAGGCCGCTACCAACCGTGCGATGTGGAAGTCATTGGGGGAGGCCTATGTTCAGCAGTGGACGTCCTGTGGCTGAAATGATGAGGTGCTCTAAGTGGAACAGGCCAGGTGCTATTCGTGCGGGTGATATTCGGGCGGGTTTTCCTCTTGTTTAAAAAATATTTTTACTAAGTTAATTTCAAAAGAGTAAATGAAATAAGAAGAAAGGACCAGTTAATATTACTAAGTGCTTCAACGATGTATGAATGAATATTTGGTACGACATTTTTTAAAACATTTTTTTTTACAAAACCAACCAGTAGCAGCGTCAACAATAGCAATTTCCGCGTCCGACTGTACAGCTGCAAGTTAGTTGGCAGTTGCTAAACTGTCTTATTTCAGTGAAGTTTCACAACTATGCTGAGATGAAATATGATGGGAATTACGGGGCAAATTGTTTCAAAGAAAACTACCTTCGCCATGAGATGCTACATTTATCACAGAGCTTAATGATCGTGTGGTTTCTGTTCTAAAACAAAGGCGGTTTTTGTTTAGAAACTTATTTTAAGAAGATCCCAAATGGTTTGGATTAGAGGACCGGATATTGAATGGACCTGGAATTAAGTGCGCTGAAAATAGGTTTAAGGAAACTCTAAAAATATACCAAATGATAGGGTTTCTGCTTAACACGATGATATTACTGTATCGACTTTTTTTTCAATTACGGGACTTTCGCACCTCTCATTGCCACCGCTGCAACTCCTGTGTTCAGGATCGGATCTACAGCTTGACCGTTTAATAAAAACCCAACCAGTGAAGGTCAAGTTTTTCCCAGGGAAAAGTTAAACTTTCATGCGGGTCGCATTGAGATTAGTCAAAAACATAGGAGTTCGAAGTTAAGGTTCGACTTCCCTCCAATGCAAAATGCAATCTGTTTTCAATGAGGGCTATCGTTTTTATCCTTAACAGTTGGCACCCCTGGCGATTGACAGGACCTTACTCTACAGTGGCGCCATCTTGATGAGTGAAAATGCGATAGTCCTCCTACCACTTTAATTAATTTGAATTTATTTTATTATATTTTTTTTGCCCCTGCGTACAAGGCACCCACTGAAAACCAGTGTCTTGGCACTTGGCAGTAAAATGTCAACTGTCAAGATAATACTGAGTGGGTAACCTCTTAGGCAACATTTTTTTTTCTCCACCTCGTTGTTTTTGTGCTTTTTAGTTGTCAAATAAATTAATTTTCTTTCTTTCTTTCTTTCTTTCACTTTCGCGCTCACCAGTTGGTTCCACTGTCTTCGCTACTAGCAAGTGACAGGACCTTACTCTACAGTGGCGCTAACTGGTGAGCGCTAAAACGATAGCCCTCATTGTGTAAGAATAATGAAAAGTTATTGATTATTTCAAAAATAGTTGTTTAATTGTTTACTCATTCTGTCAAAATGTCTTCACTAACCATGTTAAGGAAAATTATAGCAATTGCTTTTAAATTTAGTTAATAAAGGGGCCGGTCTTTGTGGAAATCCTTGGGGGAGGCCTTTGTCCAGCAGTGGACGTCTTTCGGCTGAAACGAACGAATAAAGGGGCCGGTTATACCACGCGCAATCACGTCACGACGATGACGCGTAAAGCGGAGTTATAATTTAAATTGTAGTCAAGCAATCACTGACATCCACCGCTATTAGTGCCGTTATTAGCCGTACACGCAGCAATTACGTCAGAATTTGTCACTCGTGACTTATTTTATTAAACTATCCAGCTGTGCAACACGTAATTCACAGTTTACATTCCAGCCTACCAATACTTCGTATTTTTAGGGGCTGAATGTAGTTGTAAAGTCAAACTACTTTTCCAGACTTAGGTACATTATTAATTTATCAATTAACTACTTAGTCCTAATTAAGGTAAGGAGTTTGATTAACAAATTGATTTTGTATTATTAAAAAAGAACAATTACCATGTTTCAGCCTTTTTTCTTAACAAAGACAAATCATTTCATTCAAATATTTAAAACGTTAAAAGAGTACGCACAGAGCATGACACGTGTCATGTTAAGTACGTAACAATAGTGCGTTAAAACAATTGCATAACGAACTTGTAGCTGATGTACGGGTAGCACGGGCAAACACGGCACGCGGAAACGAGTAAACCAAAGTTATAATTTAATTTGTTGTCAAACAATCAGCGTCAACCGCTGCTATTAGTTCCGTTATTAGCCATACACGTAGTAACGACGCCAGAATTTGTCACTCACGTCTTAATGTGGCATACAATGAGTTGTCAGCAATATTGCAGAAGTTGGGTCATCCCGCGTAGTATCTCGGCCGTATATCAAGCAAAGTGTTAAAGTTGGTGGGCCTCGGGCAACTTACTTAGCGAGTAAATGAGCCTTCCACAAATGATGATTGTAATAAATGTGACTGGGATATATAGACAAAAGTAGAACGGCTGGTTTTAATAAGTATAATATTAATACATATTTTGATTTGAAACGACAAAAGTTTTCTCATTAAAACACGGCTGTGCAACAATGTGCGTAGGTGCTATTCATGGATGTCAAGGAAATCATTGACTTATATTCCATTAGAAACAGTTCCTAAGATGTCAACGGGTCCAAAGATAGTCTATTTATACAAAGAGTCGCTAGCAAAGTAGCAAAGTACGTTAATTTAAAATATCATTAAGTGGAATTTATATAACAACGTGAAGTAAGATTTTTGAATCGACCTTATTTATTTGAGGAATGTTTTTTCAGATAGTGTGTTTGGAAAAATATTGGTGAAGGTCAGTATGTGACGGGACTTTTTACATTCCAGCACACTCATGAAGCAGTTACGTGACCTTAGTAACAGGGTCACTGTCATTAATGTAGATTTCTAAGCCTTGTTCGCACTAGTCGAGTAATTTAGTCGAGTGACCAAAAAACTGTGGACTCAGTGCTAGTTTGAAATGAATGCCATCGTTAGCGAGTGCGTTAAAAAATCTATTAAGATTTTATTTCTTGAAAGTATCCGCTAGGGACGCTCTAAAATCTGTCATACATTTATGTATTTTTTTATGCAGTCGCTAGTGACGCACTTAAAAATACACTGCACTTTAGTCGAACTACAGCTTACAAGTAACTTATTTTAAAAACTCGACTAAATCGAAAGTATCAGATTCTTTAGCCGGTTAAAAAGTGAGCAGGGACGCGTGGCGTGGTTGCGATTTAGTAATCTACACATTGATCTTAGCTAAAAGACCGAGAAGCGTAGTTTTAGTTATATACTCAACTAAATGTTAAGTGTTCAAACACGTTTAGCTACTAAACTACTCGCCACTCGACTGACTTACTCGACCAGTGCGAACAAAGCTTTAGCGACATCGCTCGAGCCAGCAACTTCGCGTGACGATCGTCATGAACGAAACGACACCGCGCCTATATCTCGGCGGAGTTATTCCTTCCTAGGAAGACTGTCTGCAGTGGGAAAAAGCAGAGCTAGAGTATAACATTATATTTCGACATAAATGCTTCAATTCAATGATTCCACTGATTTTGAAAGAAAGAAAGAAAGAAAGATTTTTTTTTATTCAGTATTGTATAAGTATATTTTAGCCTTTGTTTCTTAAAGTTCGCTTTATTAACCAAAATTTATATGCAAACCTACTTAACTAATAAACACAGCGATAGCTTAACATTTTTTTACAAGATCAGCCGGGCCAATATAGTTGCATAACTGTAATATTTCATCATTACAACCCTGTCTTATTATACGAATAGAAAGAAAAGGAATAAGCAAAGACAGTCAACGATCTAATTAGAACCAAGTATTATTTTTATGGTGCATTAGTTTTTAACACTTACTAAGGCTGGGTTTCACGATCTTACTTTGACTTTAACAAACGTCAAAAATCTGTCAAACTCCATACAAAAAACACCGGTTATCGTCAAAGTTACGGTCAAAGTTAGGTGATGCAACTCAGCCTAAGATTGCAAAATTACACTTTACAAATCGGTATTAAGCTTGCTATGCCGTATGGTGCCATAAATAAATAAAAATCCGTATTCTAATTGTAAGATTTTATAGCTAAGTGGAAAATTACGCTTGTAATTTATTTAGCCATTAAAGTCTCGGTAAAAAAGCCGAGAATACGCGCGTGTTAACCTATTTTATTATAATTAGGTTATTTAGATTTTTTTTAAGTGGAACCACTTAAAGCATTCCCTGATTTTATTTTCTCAGGTGCTACTTCACATTAGCTAGTTCAAAGATATTATAACATAGAACTAAAGTTGAATTAATTTAAACAGGTTTTACCGCGATACACGGATAGGTAACATTGAAATATTACCTATATTATACATTATTACCTGTATTATACATTATTACCTGTATTTGCCTGACGTTTAAAATTAATTCAAAAAGACAACGCGAAAGTTTAAAAACAATAGAGCTGTAGGTTCTCACTTTCGTGATCAATTTGTGAGCTGAAAATGGAAAAAGGTCGGAAGCTTTTGGTATGCACCTCACCTCATTCAGGCCGAAGGTTGAAGCGAGTTTCACCTGATCCACAATAATGCTGTTATGGCGACAGACCTAGGTAAAATGGTGGTAAGCAAAACGAACAGAAAAATCTACTCCCACAGGGAATCGAGCCCAGGACCTCAGGCTCTGGTATTCAGGTATTAGAGTCATGAACTCATTCAAATATCCTTCATACTCACTTTGTGCTTCCCCAGGTTAGTCACAGCACAACCAAGCACTGCCTCCCTCCCGAGAAAGAAGGTGTGGTTCCCAATCGGCCGCTCAAACTCTGGCTCCTCCGAAAACTTTTTGGTAGTCATTTGCGAGTCTGAAACAACGGTACTTGTTAAACATTCATGTCCATTGAACATTGAAAGCGATTATGGGCCCAAGTTCTCATCGGTGAACTTGGTAAAATGTCAAAAGATGCCGGCTAATGGGAAAAGTTGGGGATCGTCGAATTTGGCTAATATTAAAAGTCGTTTTGTGCCTTAACTTGTAAATATGGCCATAGATCAAATATCCATTTGAGGTTCCTTTACGATGACGTATTGGGCTGTGATTTTTGATGTATGACGTGTGGTGAACTAGATTGAATGCAGGTGCCCGAGTTTAGAAAATACCTTGTAGTGTCTTGATAGGCTTTAAATGTTTCGTGTATATTGTGTGCTTGATTTAATAGTTACCTTAAGTAAATAAGTAATACTCACTCAAGATTCGGGTTAAAACGAGATAAAAATATGTTACTTAATTATAAACTAAAATTCATGTAAGTAGTACAAAATCGAGAGTCGTTAGAGAAGAGAAACAAAAGAACATCGATATTGGGCGATGAAAAAAGAATGTTTTTTTCTTAGTGGCCAGTGTCGCGCGGCGAGGGCGGCCGTGTGTACACCCAATGTAAAATCCTTTTTTTCCTTTAGTTGGTACTACGAGTAAACGTCATTCTCGTATAAATGCATTTTTTTTAAAGATTATTAGCAATTTGTATTGCCTGAATTACTAATAGTCCCGTTAGCCCCTCGTGTTAAGCTAAATGAGCTTGTGCTACGAGTGGGCACACCACAATAGTCGATCGGCGCGGTGGGATTCGAACCCGCGTTCCTCGGATCTCGAGTCGGTCACTCCGACCCCTTCACCGTTCAGCTATCGTGGCTATATGTGTATGTATAATGGATGTGATGAATTAGATATATATACAGTGACGATATTTTGCTCTTTACAATAATAATATGTGCAGACGATGAACCAGTGTTAACACTGTGACATCTTTTGTAACAATTACAATATACAGGTGCTATTTGTTCCAAAAATGTATAGCCTTATTTCTGTCGACTGATACAAGTTGCAAATTCCTTAACCGACTTTAAAAGCTATGCCAAAACAAGTAGGTACTCTATTATTTATGCAGTTATTCTCTCTCAGGTAATACCGCACACTAGTCAAGGTTTTGACAGCCTCTTCAGAGCTGCATTTGCATAAGCACCAGCCTAAAATGTAGACTGAATATTACGCGGGTTTATTCTATGTTTCTTATTATAACTTAAGCATGCACTGGATAAATGGATATGAGTTTAAAAAAATACACCATAGAATAATGTTATTTACTATTTATTTTAGCCTGAAGTGAAGTTGACACTGTTTTAGTGATTTATCCTAAGTTATTCACTAGCTCAATTTTAACTTCAATATTGTATAAATAAAAGATAAACAACATTTTTTGTGTGCTATATATATATATATATCTGTACCCCCAGTGAAAAGGGATCTAACTCGACTTAGATCAAAATTGACTTTATAACATAATGTGAATCTCTGAAAAATTAGCTATTTTTGTATCTAATCGGTATGTTTCTACGACGTATAGAAAAGAAAATAATTTTGTGCCAAATGATACAAGTAAGGCTTTGTGAACCAATTTTGAGTTTTCTTTCGTGTATATTGNTTGCGCACAATGGTCTAATCAAGAGGCTAAGTGCAATATTCGATTGCCCTGAAAAACTAACTACGAAAGTCCTTATGAATGGATACTATGTATAAAGTAATTAATTATGTAAATGGCATGTGTTGCTAAACTTTATCTGCTTAGCTCGCAAGTATAACATGTCTTGTTAATTCATGTCTCTATTGATTTAAAAAGATTCCCGCCTTAGGCAGTTCATTTTTTTCAAGTTATTTATGATTTAAGAAGAGGCTGACAAGGGTGGCTAAATTTCTTGCGCTGCTTCTTCTCAGCACTGGCCCATTTATGTCCCAAAATAATTGTAGGGTTCAAGTAATACTAGGACGTGTTAAAGGGCTTTTTAAAAGTCTCTTTGTTGAAAAGAAATGCATTTTATGACTTTACTTTTATATTATCCTTCTGTAGCCAAAAGTCAATCAATATAGCTTGACATCATCATCTCTGGTCCAGGGTTTGATTCCTAATAGGGTAATTGTAGAAAACAAACTTTTCTATGTCTCCTGTCTAATTAGTTGATGTGAAACCATTGTTGTTTCAGGTCTTTACTACACAATTGCTTCAGCTATACTTACTTTAAAATAGGAGATAATGTATGTGATTTAGGCCGATATCATTCATGCTATATGGTGTAATAATTAATAAAATAGTAGTTTCAGATCAGAATAAACATTTAAGGAGTAAATAATTAGAATTCAGTCTCAAATTCTAGCCTTATTCCTTTACAGTCGCCACTTGTATCACTTTACACATAATTATTAGGATACTTAGATCGCTATTATGTTAGTTAAATCAGTTTACACATTTTTTTTCTCACCAAAAAATTGGTGTTTATACAGTGTGAGTCACGTTAAAGTGTACATGTGAACATAGATGAAACTAGACCTATTTTTATCGACAAAAAAGAGGTCAAAATTTTTTTGAGATTTTTTTTTAATTTTTTATAGAATTTTTTTTCTTCCAATTACTTATTGTAAAGAAAACGTAATAACTTTTAAACTAAGCGGTATATCCTGATAAAATAAAAACATTAATAATGCCAAATAACAGGCAATACTAAAAACATACATAAAAAACGCCCACAAATAATAAAAAATGATACTTTTTGAAAAAAATCTGCTTTAAAATTCGTGTTTTTTTGGTTATTTGATAAATTTCTCCAAAAAGTGCCCCTATAACCGGTGGTTTTTATTACTTTGTATTATTCTCTATCGTATTACCTTCGTAAAACCAAAAATCACATGTCTCTATCCCTATCACAACGTTTGCAATGATCGTTTGAACTAAGCCTCTCCGGGCGCGCCATTCAACGCTTCGTTAACAACGGGATTATTTCCAAAAAACCAAAAATTGTCGACAATTACAGCAAGAATTTACCAAGTGTTATACCATTTTGGAATCCTTACTAAATGCGCCAAATTATGACGTCACATGCCATACTTGCGTAGTACTTTTTTTTTTCAGTACAGTCAGTTTAAACTAGACAAAATTTTTATTTTGAAATTTTTTTTGGGAATAATGTATTTTTTTTATCCAAGCTGGAGCAGCTGGTTTTGTAATTTTGATAACAATTTAGAGAAGCATTATTCAGGGTTACATAACAAAAAAAAATTTGGAAAAAGTGAAGATTTGTGGCAACACGAGTAAAAAGACCGTCACCTGGAGTATAAATTTTTGATTTTTTTTAAATGCCCATTATTTTGAAAATATGCCACATAGATTTTTTTATATTTTTCTGATAACCAGCATAACTTGCCTCAACACCCAGTTCCGGCTTGACGTTACATTACGGGACACCCTGTATAACAGGAACAATAGTGGGCCCAGAATGCTACCTTGAGGGACACCAAATTTATTGACCCTAAAAGTAGATTTGTACTTTTCTAAACATTTGGTCTTAGGACTGCATCTCTGGATTTCCACGCATTGTTCTCTTTGTGATAAGTAGTTCTTAATCTAATCATAACATGATCCCCGAATTCCATATTTATAGAGTTTCATAAGAAGGCGTTTATGACACACAAAATCAAAAGCCTTAGACATATCTAAAAAAAGTACTGAAACAGGAATGTTATCGTTCAGACAATCGGTAATCGTTTTGAGTAGTTTGAATGTAGCTAAAGAGGTAATTTTATTTTTCCTAAACCCACTTTGCTCGTCGCTCGTCTTTGATAACATTTGCAACGGGGCGTCTTAGCTAGCTCAGTCTGACACCCCGCTGTTTAGTACTAAGTCCCAGTTCGCCTTCTGCGATGAGGGATGTGTACCTATCCGGGATGCCTACAGGGATATTTGACCAAGGAAACGCACAATCAATGACACAATGGCACTTTGTAATTCAGGTTCCACAATAGTTTACTTATTCTAGTTTCACTGACTCTAAGTTACTATTATTTAAATAACGAGCAAGTTATTCCACAATTGCAAATCTACTATGACAAGAGGGATAGCGACGCGCCCGGTTCGCGTCCCGAGACTAGTTTACGTATCCGCGAGAGGGGCGGCGCCCTGTGCGAGGTTTATCGAGTGTTAGTCTGGATACTTATAACTAGGGGGGTAGGATGTGGTTCGTTAGCTCAAGCCAGAGACCGAAGCCTCGATAGTGAGTACGACCACTAGGGAAAGGCGTCGGACCTACGGGGCGAGGGGGTGTGAAGTTCTAGTTATTTCTTCCTCTTGACTCGTTTGCGTGTACTCGGTAAGGACGAGAACCGGTTGGCTATCAACGATAGAACGTCTCGACACGACGCTTTATGGCGCCGCGGATTAGTGACGAGGTATCGGATCAAGCCAGAGTCGAACAGTCAAGGTTAGTAGGGTACAATGTGGATAGATATTCGCTAGGGACTCTGTGCAATGCAGCCGAGGGAACGATAGACGCGCGCGCGAACGTCTGGCTGTTACAATGGCTCCCGAGCGAATGCTAGGCGCCCNCATATAAAAATACTTGTATGTCTCTAATTTGTCATTTTTAACGATTTAACAGCCCGGACACGCAAAAACTAGCTCATCTGAGAATGGCCGACAATATTGCTACATTCTATTCGCGTGGACTGTACATTATTAGATCCAATACATAGCTAGTGAGAGCACTCGTGAGCTTGAGTATATCTTTTACTAGAAACTATCAACATTATTAGTAATCAAATTGGTAATATGAGTGCTTTGGATCAACCGTGCGATGTGGAAGTCATTGGGGGAGGCCTATATTCAGCATAATATGAATACTTATACTCAATTACATTTTGAACGTTATTAATAAAAAAAAAGTAATAATAATATATTTGATAATGGTGATAAGTTATTAATTTTATAAAATTGGGCATTCAAAAAACGCTATCATACAACAAATTTTAATCTTTTGGGAA